ACCGAGAATTGATGATCTATTCGATCAACTTCAGGGAGCAAGTTACTTCTCAAAGATCGATTTGTGGTCGGGGTATCACCAACTGAAATTCAGGGAAGAATATGTGTCAAAGACAGCCTTTCGAACTAGGTATGGTCATTACGAGTTTCTAGTAATGCCATTTGGTTTGACCAATGCACCGGTTGCATTCATGGATCTGATGAACCAGGTGTGCAAGCCATACTTAGACAAGTTTGTAATTGTATTTATCGATGACATCTTGATATACTCTAAAAGTAAAGCGGACCATGAGCAACATCTACGGCTAACACTTAGCTTATTGAGGAAAGAAAAATTATTTGCCAAATTTTTGAAGTGCGAGTTTTGGCATCGGGAAGTCCAGTTTTTAGGACATGTTGTAAACGAACATGGTATCAAGGTGGAACCAGCAAAAATCGAGGAGATTGAAAAGTGGGAGCCACCAAGAACACCATCAGAAGTTCGAAGTTTTCTTGGGTTGGCAGGTTACTATCGAAGGTTTATACAAGACTTCTCATGTATAGCTGCACCGCTAACTACCCTAACAAGGAAAAATGTAAAGTTCGAATGGAAGCCAGAACATGATGATGCCTTTAACATCTTAAAGGAAAAGCTTAGCACTGCACCGTTATTATCATTACCAGAAGGAAATGATGGCTTTGTCGTTTACAGTGATGCATCCAAGCTAGGATTGGGGTGCGTTTTGATGCAAAACGGTAAGGTGATTGCTTATGCCTCACGGCAGTTGAAGGTTCACGAGCAATCGAGCATAAATACCCAACACATGATATGGAGTTAGCTGCAGTAATGTTCGTTTTAAAGATTTGGAGACACTATTTGTATGGGACAAGGTGTCAGATCTTCACTGATCAAAAGAGTCTGAAATACTTGTGTTGATCAGAAAGATTTGAACATGAGACAACAACGGTGGATGGAGCTATTAAAAGATTACGATTGTGAGATATTGTACCATCTAGGGAAGGCGAATGTTGTAGCTGATGCACTAAGTCGTAAGGAAAGGAGAGAACCACCTAAGATTCGGATGATGAAGATTAATGTAACCACCAGCTTACTAGATGATTTGAGAAAGAGTCAGGAGGAAGCCTCGAAGGAAGAGAAGTGGAAAAGTGAAGGAGTGGTTGGAGTAATATAATCATTGGAAAAAGATAGTTGTGGCTTGAAGTGTTTCCAGGGAAGGGTTTGGGTACCACGAGTGGGTGATGTGCGTAACTTACTTCTCAAAGAAGCGCACATGTCGAAGTACTCAATCCATCCAGGAACAAACAAGATGTATCAAGACTTACGAAAATCTTACTGGTGGCCAAGTATGAAAAAGGATATAGCCTATTTTGTTGAAAGGTGTTTGACGTGCTTGAAGGTGAAGGCTGGGCACCAAAGGCCTTATGGTCAGTTACATTCAATGGAGATTCCGGTATGGAAATGGGATCACATCACAATGGACTTTGTGACTAAGTTACCTAGGACACCGAAGGGTTATGACGCAATTTGGGTAGTCGTGGATAGATTAACCAAATCGGCACACTTCCTTCCGATTAAGGAGACATACCCGTTGGAAAGGTTAGCTAAGTTGTACGTTGACGAGATATTGAAACTGCATGGAGTTCCATTGTCTATTGTTTCGGACCGGGATAGTCACTTTACGTCGACATTTTGGGGTAGCTTCCAACGAGAAATGGGTAATCAAGTGAATTGTGTTATTGATTTTAGAGGGTCTTGGGAAACTAATTTGCCGTTAATTGAGTTTGCTTACAACAATAGCTATCACGCAAGTATAAAAGTCGCACCATATGAGGCTCTATATGGTAGGAAGTGTAGGACCCCATTATGCTAGAATGAGGTGGGGGAGAAACAAATGGTTGGACCTGAACTTGTTCAACAAACTACCGATAAAATCCAGGCGATTAGGGATAACATTAAGGTTGCTCAGGATCGACAAAAAAGTTATGCAGATAAGCGGAGAAAGCCAATAGTGTTCCAGATTGGTGATAAAGTTATGTTAAAAGTGTCCCCATGGAAGGGTGTTGTGCATTTTGGTAAGCGAGGGAAGTTAAGTCCTCGCTACGTTGGACCCTTCATAATTAAGGAACGGGTTGGAGAGGTAGCCTATCGATTGGAGCTACCAAGGGAAATGCAGGGCATTCATAGCACATTCCATGTCTCTAATCTAAAGAAGTGTCTAGCGGATGCCGCCATGGAAGTGCCACTTCGAGAAATTAAGGTTGATGAGAAGCGACGATATACAGAAGAACCTGTCGCAATCATAGATCGAAAGGTCAGAAAGTTAAGGAATGTGGAGATACCACTGGTGAAAGTTCAGTGGAAGTATCATAAAGGTTCATATGCGACATGGGAAACTGAGCGAGATATGAAGACTAAATACCCTCATTTATTTGATTAATTAAAATTCAGAGGACATAATTTTTCAAAGGGGGAAAGTTTGTAATAATTCATATCAAAAATAAAAAAAATAAAAATCAAATTATATAAATATAAATTAATGATTAGTTCAAAGTTAATGATTCAATTATAGGCAAATTATGGAGATTAATTTTAAAAACCGTCACTTTCAATGGTGCTGTAAATTCGAGCAAATGAAAGGGTTTCACCAGTTACAGGCTTAGGCATTATATATAGCACGTAAAATCGAGTGGAAACCTCACAAGAATTTTGGAAATCGACTGAGAATCGAAGGAGAAATAGGGATTGGAAGTTCTTGAAGTATTTTCGGAGTTGTGCTTGAAATTAAGGTATGATTCTTCAGTTTCAGCTTGTTATAGTTGCTAGTGTAGGTTTATATGGTCGTGCTATGTGTTTTGGTTCCACTTAGGGTCTCGATTTGGCTGATAATACTATAAATTGATAAGGATTTTAAAGGAACACCTTGGATGCAATAAAAGATTTTATTTACCCTAATTTGATTTTGTTTTTGATGATTAATTGTGGATATACTACTAATAAGAAATGGAGATATGATTATTTTATATCTTTATTTGGTAATTATTTTTTTTTTTGAGAAAAGTCGAAGTCGCTGTACTTATGAAAATGGCAGAAAAAGAAAAAAAAAAGAATGTCGGGTAGGAAGACAACTTACCGGGTTTTTTTGTTGGGCGGATTAAAAGCTGGCCCATGGTCAATTCCCATTATTAGCCGTATATTATATATTCCTTCAAAATGAAAAATACATATTCACTCCTTCTATTTTCATAATATGTTTGATTTTGAAATGAGACTATATACGCAGGTGTGTTTCCTTTGAATTGAAATCTGATGTTGCTGGTTAGGTCCCTGTAGTTTGGCGACTTTTTTTTTTGGTGTCATAACAAGAATTTAACTTTAAGATATTTAAGTTCCTAAACTGTTTTTAAATGTTTGATAAATTTAAACACACAAAATTTTCATATATTTATAATAAGGTTTTATAAAATGATAATTTAAAGGAGAAGGCTTTCTTAGTTCGATAATGACAAAATATACTATTTGGATAAAAAATTAATATCAATCTTATGAATAATAAAATTGTATAGTTATTGGTTGGCCGAACGAGATAAGTGAATAGTGGAACTAAACGAACACATATGATGTTTTTCTAGGATTGCGACCTTAGAAAAATATGTTGGTTAAAGGTAGAGTGCGTGTAGCGTGACAAGCTTTAGTTAAGACCTAACGCCAACAATGTGAATTTCATGTGAATTTTGTGGTTGCTTACATGAAAAGTTGATTCTAATTTATTTGCAAATTACATGTTACCGTGGTTATTGCTATGAATATTTGTGTGAATTTTATGAACTAATTCATGTAAAAGGGTGAAAAGGGTGGGTGACATATAAATAGGGAACAAATGTATTAACTACACGGTCTCATCATTAGTCGTCGTACAGGGCGTCCGTACGCGGCGGAGAGCTTACGCTCTGGTTAATTAGCTGTAAGCATATTTGTTGTGCCTGACGGAGGGACTTGTTCCCTGGAAATGACACTAGTTCCCTAATGTGTCACCAATGGTGGAAAGAATTATATTTCATAAGTTGTTGCATTTGTTTTTATTTTATTGACGTCAATATGCATGAAAACCACGAACTCACTAGGCCCTAGGCTTACCCATTAGAATTTTAAATGCACGCAACCCAGGAAATAATGTAGCAAGTGGCAGCGGGAATGGAAAGGATAAGACTTAGACTTGAAGAAGGCGACAAGTTTTGAGGAAGACGTAGCGCACCAAGTGTTTACTTAAATTTTCTATTTGCTTCCGCTATTATTATTAATAATGACATTAGTAATTGAATTTTCGAATTTTAGAAGTTTTGGGACCATGTTAAATTAAAAATTGGTATTTGAAATTTGGGGCGTTACATTGTCACGCTACATGCACCCTTGATTTCGAACACAACTCCGAAAATGCTTTACGAACTTCCTACTTTGATTTCATCCTCGATTCTAAGCCGATTATCAAAATTTATGTGAGGATTCCATTCGATTTTTCGTGCTACATATAATGCCTAAGTGTATAACTGATGAAACCCTTTCATTTGCTCGAATTTTACTGCCTAATCAAAGTGACGTTTTTTTATTGGATATTAAGCCTCATAATTGGCCTCTAATTGACCCATAAATTTTGAATTAATCATTGTCTTATATTAATATAACCTGATTATATTTTTTTGTCGATATGAGTTATTACACTTTTAATACAAAAAACACAAAAAATTAGGATTTTAACATGTTTAATAAGAGTACTGTGTAAATATTACTAATTAATTGGGGGTTTTTAGAGTTCTTAATTTTTTATGGTTCTCATTTGAACTACTCCGTGTATATATATATATATCTATATATATATATATATATATATATATATATATATATATCATTTTAGACATCTCTTGAAATTTAAGAGGTACAACATCTACTATATTATATACAATCAATTTATGCTCATTCAATATATATATAGCAAAAACCCTAATTATAAGAGTGACATCGTATCTCATCTGCCAGACTCATCGTCCTCACCACCATCTGCTCTCCAACCTCACACCACCCACCGTATCAGTATGTCCTCTCGTAGCACTTTTCCGTCAACGACAACCCACTACGATCCGTCACTCTCACTCCCCCCCCCCCCCCCCCCCCCCCCCCCCTCTACCCTAACTCGCTCTCCAACCCCGCCAATACTCATCAATGCTGACCCTACCTCCGCCTCCAACCGGTTCCAATGTGCCAACGCCTCCGACGACGATTTCCATCATGTCTTATGATGCCGTTTTCATGTAAGATAGGATTTTATTTTTGTTTACATTCATCGCTTACATTCTCTATATAATTGTGTGCGCACAGACGATGCACAAGTGTCTTAGACCTTAAAACAAGGCAATTTCGTATTTCTTATTTAAAGTTTTCATTTCTGTTCTATTACATGATGACAACTGATGTTTCATTTTTGGATCTTTGTTTTTACTTATTGTGGAAGTGGACTTTGCTAAAAGTTTATGGTTTTCTGTAGGAATCTGGTTTACAATGTGTACTCTTATTTATATCTTTGAATACCTCATGTGTAAGGGGAGCAATGGGATGACACAAGGTTATTCGTTGTATTTTTTTAGACTTTCGTTTTTGGATTCCCATTCTGCATCCGCAAATGAGTAATGTGCCTTTTTTTTCTGAGATTTATTCACTCTAATATTACATGGGGTTATATTTTGGACTTGATTGTGACTGAAAATTACACTAACATTTTCTGTATAATGCATAATCACATCAAGTATCTTGGAGAATGTTTGGAAAATGTTTCTATTGTTGGTGTAGTTGATCAATTTCATAGGTATGTTGTTTCATCCATTAACATTATCTATGATGAAATTGTTATTTTCAGCCTATTTTATCATGTTTGACTTGGATTTCTGTTGAAATATATATGGATTTAGGGTTCTATTTAGGGTTCTTGGTTGCCCATGGCTGTTAATTAAGTAACTACAGTTATATGTAGTGGAAAGGTGTACCTGAGATGGATTAAGGATATATCTTTTTTTTTTTAAATGAAGTTATTCATCATGGTGGGGAAGATGTTTACTCGACATTGAGATTCGGAGTATGGAATTATAAGCTATTACTGACACTCCTGAATTTATATGCATTTATAGTTTCATGGATGTGGGTTAGCTAAAGTGTTCGACATTAAGAATTTTTCAAAATTCAAAGATGCGAACAATGAAATTTATGAGCATGGTTGTGTTCTTATGGTGCAAAAATAAACCTCTTCTTCATTCCAGATTTCCAGACCCGCCTTGATGTAGCCTCAGACCACCCCTGTTAAAGACAATTCGCTAGAATCCCCCATTACATGTGTTGTCATTATTAATAAAAGCTCATATTTTCAAGCATTTTTGCAGGTTTTGACCTTTTTTTTAAACCAAGTTACCCAGATGAAATACCTTTACTAGGTACCTTTTAAAACGGAGGAAATGTTTTTCATAGAATTCAAAATGAAAAGAATTCAGTTTATATTCCATCTTCTCCTGCTGCAGGTCAGGTAAATCAAAGTGCTTCAAGATCTGAAATTTTATTTCTTTTCTCTGATTTCCCTGCTCCTTTATTTGCCAATTCTGAAAGTTTATTATGCAAACATGCAATGACAAGAAAACAGAGCCTAAATAAAATTTTGCTATAGATGAAGTATTTGTATATATTAAGTGTTAAATGTTTTGAAAGTTGGTGTTTGGTCAACTTCTAATGGCGATATAGTTTATTATGTTGAAGGATGGAGACAATTTTTTGATAAAGACCTTGCTTTGTGTTTTGGCAAGATGTTAATTGGATGTTGTTTATCTCTATATGATACTTTAGTTTAGTTATATTATATACACATATATTTCATATATAAAAAATTAATATTTAATCACTTTGTGTCCTCCAAACCTTTATCATTTTTTGTTTAAAAATCTCCATATTTCAACCCTTATATTTTTTTATGTCATGCAGAGATTATGACTAATGGAAATCAAGAGAAATATGGATGGTACTTGTGATGATTTGTGTACGTGTTGAAAAGTCCAATGCCTCGGGTTTTCAAAGGTCAAATGTGATGGGGAAACATTCATTTCAACCAATGGATTATATGGACATTTTGTTACTCTTAAATGAGGGGAAACCTTTTTAACTGATTGGACATAAATTATGATTGAAGTAAATTTTAGAAAGACAATGATGACAATATACTATCAAAATATTTTCCAAATGACAAGGGTTATCTTATTGTGATTTTTTTTCATCTTTTTGGAATTTGGAAAATTCTAACCATTTTCCCTTTATAACATTGAAATTCATACTTAGGTGCTAATGTACATGAAACCTTTGATCCAAATGATTACACCTTCAAGCCTGAGTTTAAAGACGTATTTTTGAAGGAATCAAAATGAGCCTGTATTGGAGATTAGGAAATATTTAAAGACATCTCATTTGAAATATTTAACGAAGAAGGTTCTAAAAATGTTTTAGGGGCCAAAATGGTCAATAATTTTAGTAAGGGATCTAATTTATATTGTTGATCCGATATTGTATTATAACGAAAAGTTTGTAAAGTAACTTTGTTATATGTATTTTTTTTCTTAGATTTCCAAACTTATTGTTTTTCAAAACGTAAAATGTAGGTAGTTTGTGAGAATCATAACACTATTTGTTTTATACTAATTATTTATGGCTTTATTTGAATTAAACAATTTTTATACTTTAAAAGTGTGAAAAAAACCAATCGACACAAATCACATTAATAAGATATGTTACACCAAAAGGCTTATATATAGGTTAGAGGTAAAGAGTTTTCAAAAACCAAATCGATAATTTTAAATTATGAACAAATAATCACATTAATAACATAATTCACATCCCGTCTACCCAAAATCAAAAACGTTAACAAAGAATATTTAATCAAATATATAAAGTTTCCAATAATGATATATTTTATGTTTGATCGATGATTTAATAGAAAAATGAAATAGCTTTTGACAATAGACATTATATCGAAAAATTAAAATGTTTACGTTTTGTCAATTCATTATATACTTAAACTAAAATTTTAAACAAATCACCAAAATAAAAATAAATATATAAATATTTGTTTTTCAATTAACCATTAGCTACAAAAATCATAAATATTAAAACATACCAAAAAACCAAACATGTTACATGTTCGGTTAACCGAAATGAAAACAAAATGAACATAACCAAAACGAAATTATTTATTGATATTTAATTATTCGCCATAGTTGCATTGTACATATTTACCGCTAGGATATAAATAACTATTCGTTAAAAAGAAAAACATTAACTTTAAGAATATTATTTGAAGTCTTGTAATTTGAAGATTCGATATAAGTTACTCATATGCTTGAACACTTTTGGAGATTCACTTTTAAGAGAGAAGTAACAAACCGATGACAAATGATATTCTCTAACATAATAACATAACATGTTTTCGAAAGAAAACTAATTGCCGAAGGAAATTATTTGTCGCCGCTGCTTTGTGCGGGTTCATAACTAGTATATATATATATATATATATATATATATATAATATATATATATAGATATTATATATATATATATATATATATATATATATATATATATATATATATATATATATATATATATCATCAAACTTGTTATCTAATGATGCGAAACAGCTAAAGACCATTTAAACAAAATGGAAAATGAACCTGATATCAAACCATTTTATACGTACCAAATTTAATAATATATTTAAATGATGTAATATACGTATTTAATATGATTAATAATACATTTTTAAAAACAGTCTTTTAAGTAATAGAAACCAAATGGAAGCCTTTAATTAAATCATTTTAGGGCACACCAATTTTGCCTCTTTCCAAATGTCAATATTCTAGTTCGCCAAATGGTAACTATTTTTTATAAATCTAAAAAAATGCTGATTTATAATACTTAATGCTAAGACTATTTGATATGATTTTTTTTTATCAAGTCTAGTAAAAGATGGCCTAACTCAACTAAATTAGACAATTTATATTATAACTAGAAGTCTCTATTTAGTCATATATAATTTGACTGGTTCTAATTTAATTAGATTTTGATTCAATTAAATCTGACTCAAATAATATCAAATAACACTAGATGATTTAAATTTATGTACTATCAAACAATATCATACAACACCTTATTTAAATTTGTGTTTATATTTGTTCCTATTTAAAAACAAAAACAAGCATTTGACGGTTGACATACATAATGCATATAAATGAATAAATAAAGAATAAATAAATAAAGAATAAAATTAATTGACAAGTCAATTTTGAAAAAGAAAAATTAATAAAAATTTAAACGTGACATGATTCACTTACAAAATGTATATAAATAAATTATTTTTATAGATCTTTTAGAGAAAAAGAAAAAATAACAAAGTATTAATGCATAGAGGAATGGGACACCTTAATTTAACCATTTAGGTAGTGTTTGTTTTTTCTCTGCAGATCTGCGTGACCTCTTCTGTCTGCGCCGCGCAGACCACGCGCAGACATTAACCTTCGCAGACTGTTTGTTTTTTTGAAGACTGCAAATGTCTGCGCGCCCTCTTCTTGGCGCAGATGTGAACCAGAGTCTTCTAACATCTTCAGACATCTTCTAGCCTAAAAAACATATATCTCTTTACTTTTTTTAAGTTTTTTTTTTAATTTATATTTTTTCCAACTTTATTAATGATAAACAATTTGAAAAAAAAAATTACAAAACTTAAAAAAAAAAAAAAAAACTTTCGACGATACAAACATAATATTTTTAAAGATTTATTAAAATAATAGTCGTTGAAGTTGTTTATATAAATATGAAAAAAAATCATAATATATTCTTATATTTTTTTGCCAAATTTTGTAAAACATTATTTAATATAGTATCGTCAATTTCTCGAGAAAGTATTTATGGTACGTTTTTAATGGATTTAATTGAAAAAATCAAAGTTTATTTCCATCCATTTATGTATCAAATTCTTTGATCACTAATTATAATCTTTAGTTATAACTTTGCAACCAAAGTTGTTGGTTTTTATCAAATATATACGTTAATTCATACAATTTTTATTTTTATTTTTTATATAATAATACATAAAGTTGATATAGATTCGTTAATTATTTATAACAAAGTCATAAAAATATTAAAAAATCACTTTGAAGTTTAAAAAAATCAGTTTATTTAGATTTCTGTTTATTTTAGTAGCCCGCAGATGTTAAAAAAGTAAACCGTCTTCTTTTTTCAGAGTGCAGACGTTTGGTCCACCCGAGGTAATCGGCAGACAGCAAAATCCAAACATTTTGCTGATAAAAAACAAACAGCATCTTACACAACAACAAAAAAAAACCTCCCCACCACTCCGCTGTCATTTTGTGTTCCAAAGATTTTCCGGCCATCGGAGACGATGAAGTATTAATTACAGAAAGGTGGTGCAGATACGGGAGCTTATCGGAAATCTCCCTTTTAATTCATTCAGATACGTGAGTTCTACTTTCCCTCCGATAAATCTCTGGATTTTCTACTTTGTCATGCAACTCTACAGAATTCGAATTCCATTAGGGTTTTTCACACTTGAATTATAATCTTGAGTTTGTATTAGTTCCATGAATGCGATTATGAGTTGTGTTTTTTGTTAATTAGTACTACCAAATCTGATTCTGTGCTTTAGATCGTAGTTTCATCGTCTGTTTCGGATTCAATCTTTACGATTCCTACAACTTTTCAGCGATACGATTTGTTGGCTTTTTTTTTTGTATTCTTTTTATCAAGGATTGGGATCGAACCCTTTCCAGCGCCATTGGGGGACAAGCTCCGTGGGACATTCAATTTCTTGGTGAAACCGTAGCTGTAGTTCAACTAGTTTTCGAAGATCAACTAATGCTTCTTGATCTTAGCTTCTCGACAATGGCGGAGTCTAGATTTTTTACTTTGACTTTTGTGGAATTTAATCATCCAATCATCTCAAACACCTCTTCCAATTTCGTTTCATTTCATTTTCGTCTGAATCCCTCCCTATTAGCCGCCGATAAACAAAGAAAGAACAATTGATTCTCTCAATTTTCTTGAAATATTTTTGTGGGATTGATTATATCTGTTTACTTGAGTCTATAAGAATGGTATGATAATGGGCCTCACTTTTGATAAATTTCTTTCATTTATGGATTGAATAATTGAAATTACTGGTTACACTGCAGGTGGTTTGAATTACATTTTGGTAACAAAAAGTCTTTATGATGTTCCCAAATGAGAAAATCTGATGTTATTATCAGTGGAAGGAGGAGGGTTTTTCTCATCTTCTGCTTTAGGGTATAGTAAGGGCCTAACCCTTCTACTCTTGGGTAAAAAGACCGAAGAAACCCCCATGAGAGTTACACCGTGGAATCAGTACCAGTTGGTGGACCAAGAATCCGATTCCGACCTCCATCAATCCGATTCCGGCCTTCATCTGGCTTCCAACAAGAACCGTATTATCCGCGGCTGCGCTTCCTATCTCTGCTTTGGTCGCGCAGCCGCTGGACTCGATAGTCCGTGCCCTTTAAAAGTGGGCCCTACCCACCACCACCACCAAGACCCACAGGATCCTCTCAAAAGTCCTGATTTGGAAAAAGTCAAAGAAAAAGTCATTCATTTGGATGTTGTTGATGATGATGATGATATTAATGTCAGAAATACATGTTTTGCTTAGAAGCAGCTTGAGGAGACCTGCAAGAACTATTTCAGTCTCTGTTGCTGTTGATAAAGAGGGTGAGAATGAAGGTGAGGGGAAGCATGTACAAATACAACAAAATGAAACAAATGGTGTGGATCATATTCATAAACAAAAAGAAAGGAGAGTTCAATGGACAGATGTTTCAGGGGGTGGTCTTTTTATGGTCCGAGAATTTGAGCCCAGGTATGTCATATGTGGCTTTTTACAAATTTGCCCTCCTTTATAACTGTGGTGTCAATGTCATTTTCTCATATATTGTTTGTTTGATCATTATTGTTTCTCAAACACTTTGGGTGAATTTTTGGCATATATTTGCAGTGAACACAGTGGGTCAGATGATGAGTTTGAAAATGGGATTGAAAGAAGTTGTTCTTGCAGATTAATGTAGTTTCAGTGCCAGAGTTTTTCCCCCAAAACCAGAGACTGCTTCATATTTTCTTAACCACCAATGTTTATTCCATTGGATTCACCACATCTTTCTGTCTATATTCCATTTCTTTTGGATTTCAATTTTGTTTTTCTTTTTCTTTCCAAGTTTTTGTGTTGTTTTCATTTGTTTCATTGTAATTAACACCCTTTTGTTCCCTTTTTCCCCTAGTTTTGTCGCTTGATGTTAATCGAGATTTTGAGAGTAAATCGTCTTTCGTCAATTGCTGTTTGTATGATGAAAATATTGAGTGTGTTTGAACTTTATGTTGCTGCTGTTGCTCTTTCATCAAGTCCATGTTTTTATTTTTCTTTATTATCTAATGAGAGTTAACTTAAGGTGGACAAATATATAATGGTATAATTTTGAACTTAATCACACTTTATTATGCAAATTCTGAAACACAAACAGCAAAAGAAAACCATATTGATAATAATATTAAACACATAGTCGCCGCACATCTAAGAAGTTGAGATCATGCTCAACATCCACAAGATCAATCGGATCTTTATGATAAGGGATCAAATTCCACATACATCAGACACACGTCATGAAGAAGATGAACTCATGTACTCATAAGGTGGAGCATAAGTGAATTGATATGGTTTTGCACTTCTTCCCCAACGTGTGTGAAATTATCTGAATACTTGTACAAGACCTCAATTACACGTGCCAAATTAATTGTGCGCATAATTATAGGCATTGGAACATCTTTGCACATGAGGGATTCCCGATTCATTTCTTTCCATGCATCTTCAACTTTTTCTTTGAACAAATCATAGACATGTTCCTTAGTCACATCAAACTCCTTCACATAACATTCAATTCCAGAGGCAACATGCTCTCTTTCTTGCTCCTCCTAAATGCATGTTCATCATCATTAGCACTTTTTAACTTTTACAAGTGTTCTTAACGTAAACTAACCAAGTGTGACTAACATATAATTAAGCTTCCTTGTTGTAATAGAGGGAGGTTAATTAATCAGTTGTACCACAAGTTGGATGTACCTTGTGGGAGACAATATCATCCTGGAACCTACAAAGTTTACAAGAAGCTTTGACAAGAGGAGGATAAGTGGAAGCCCATTTGAATGATTCATCTGTGATTATATCACCCATTCCAGCCAAACTTGCTATTAGCAGGAATTTGTAGGCACAACTAATCAAACTGATCGACATGTGCTCTTCGGTTGTTGGAGTATACCCTTCATTTCTCCATTCGGCTTCTTTCATGTAACTTCTCATGTATTCTTTCATCTGAGTAATCAAAAATATGTACAATGATACAAACAAATGCAACCTGATCAACGATCTTTCGAGAAATGCAAAAATTAGTATGAAATATTCGAAAATACATGATACTCATTTTTAAACACCAATTTTGATTGATTTTCTAAATTAAGAGTAGAAACAGGGAATCCTTGAAGATAATCAAAATAAAATAACATTTAAAAGTTTTCAAATATAACAAAAAGACGACATGACTTATTAAAACATATAATTGCAGTGATAAAAGTTCCAGATACATATAGTGAAAACCTTACCATTGTCAAATGTAAGTCCAAGAATTAAGAATTGATTAAATTTACTCTTACAAAGAAATATATAATTAAGTAGTATAAAATAAATGAATGGCGACGAAACTTACAGCCTCTTTCACGTAGTCTATATGATAAGCTTTACCCTCAGTTGCCATGATTTGCTCCATCTCTGTAAAAACGTCCAAAACCATGCGGTAAATGAGTTTCATGTAGTCTGGAAGCACATCCAAGCACTTAATCGACCACCTATACATAGAAAATTTATGATGAGTATATATACAGTATTTATCTTGGTTCCAAGGTTAACAAATTACTGAATATTAATTAATGTTGATTAATACTGCATATATATACCTTTGAATTGCGTCCGTAAGTATAAGTAGCTCCTCATAGGTTCCATAAGCATCATATGTATCATCCAAAATAGTTATCACAGCAAGAACTTTTGCTAAGAAAATTCTGGATCGAGAATATTTAGGATCAAAGTACACACCTTGTGCCCAAAAATAACATTCAACCAATCTATTTCTTGCGTAAGGCACATTCTTTGCCACATCGTAAACTTTCCACCACCTATGATGAACTAGTGTGTACATAATCAAACAATAACAAGAGAAAAAAAAAGAGCCCAGAATTTATATTTCTTGGTCAACTAGATGCTTAATGAAGGAAAGATCAAAGAGCTAGCTAAGGGTGTATCATACTTGGAAAGTTGACTAAGCTCTTTCTTGTGTAGCGACTGAAGCAAGTCAAACCCTAACTTGGAAAGTTTTAGTAAAGACTTGTTATGAGAAGCTTGTTCTTGGTAGAAAGGTATGTAGCGTAGTGCTTCTAGTCTTGGCAACCTTTTTCGTATAGGTTGTTTTAATGCTTGTTGTATTTGGTTAATTGTGTCAATATTGTTGGCCGCCCATTGAAGATCTTTTGCTATGTCATCAAGTCGAGCTTTTGTGAAAATAAGAGCATCATCTAGTGTAACTTCACCTGGCATCCTCATATAGGTTGCCTCGTACAAGTCAATCAAGCCTTGAACATCATTGGTTAAGGTATCCATGTAAACTCCCTATTTGTTGATTATGTTGGTTCTTGAAGGACGGTTCAGATGGCATATGCATAATTTATGGGGGAGTTAGAGAAGAAAATGGGTGGGAACTGGGAACATCGAGTTATAACTTTATATATCTTCTTATTTATGGGGTTGTAACTTTATTATTATTTTTTTTATAGATTTTTCTATTTGTGATTTTTGGTTTTATTTTATTGGTACGGCACGATGAATAATGAGATTTTTAATAATCACCAATGAAATTAGTCTAAAAACATTTTTTTAAGAAAATAAAAATCTTATTTTAAAACAAAAAGTTATTTAAAATGTGAAACCTGATAAAACAAATTGTATTAATTAAAATAAAATTGCAAAAATATGGTGCAATAAGGAAACAAGAACATTTTACACATGAAAAGTAAAAAATTGTTTAATGGTATAAAAATGTAAAAAGATTTTATAAAATGACATAATTTTCTTTTTTCAAACTTTAGGTGTTATATAAAAAAAGTTTTATTGGCCATTTTGCAGCACAAGAAAAACCTACTTTTTCTTCGAGATCTACCATTCATTTCCCTCCAAAAATACATCCATAAAATTATTTTTGTTAACAACTCACACACCCTTAAATCACTAAATTTACATCCTTCTTATTGTTTTAATGAAATTCCAACTAATCTCCAAGGAAAACACTATAAAAAGCCTTGTTGCAAATGTTATTTTGACAAGATTTGTTTATTTTGCTCCTACTAGTAGCTCCAAATTCATTCTTTATTGGATGGAATTGTTAAGTACTATTAGCTCCAAATTCATTATCCGCTACTAGAAAATTGGAGGAATACCTACAAGCTATTGCATAGGTTGAAACATCCCAAAAATACAGTCCAAAAATTTCGTTTTAAAACTTATAATAAAACCATGAATCACCGATCAACATAAAGAAAATCAAGAATCATGTATCTCAAAACATCATGTCAAATACTGTGTCAAAATCATATGAGAAAAATATCTAAGTGTAAACATCCCAGGCTATAACTGTGGTGTGTGCCATGCGATCATCCTGAGCCCTTCCCCTTGCTAGTGGAAGTACCTAAAACCAAAACTGAAAACTGTAAGCACGAAGCTTAGTGAGTCTTCCCAAACTACCACATACCATACACATAACATGCAACTAGGAGATACGGGCCCCGCCCACACTCCGCTAACCGGGAGATATGGGCCCCGCCCACACTCCGCTGACTCTGAGATACGGGCCCCGCCCATACTCAGCTACTACGAGATACGGGCCCCGCCCACACTCGGCTACTATGAGATACGGGCCCCGCCCACACTCAGCTGCTATGAGATACGGGCCCCGCCCACACTCAGCTATTAGACATACATACAAGTATCACACAGACAACAAGTATAACTAATTCTATCAATCAGGCATATATCCATAATCAACTAAGCTATGAGATACGGGCCCCGCCCACACTCGGCTAACTGGGAGATACGTGTCTCGCCCACACTCAACTACTAACATAATCATATTGCGGGTCGGCCTTGGTGTCATAGACCCGTTCCTACTGAAGGAAACTGACCTCGCAAGACTGACTGCTGAAAAATCGAGTGAGGAATCTCTGACTGCTGCTCCGGCGACTCCCCGACTATCAATTTCATAATAACACTTGATCAAAATCTGATAATCCTTCCTAGGGTAAAATGACCATTTTACCCCAGGTCAAAGTCAACGCTTGGGTCAAAGTCAACATTCTGATTGACCCAACTCGTCGAGTTACTCCATCAACTCGTCGAGTTCTAGATCCTGAAATCGCGATCTGACTCGTCGAGTCTCCCCAGACTCGTCGAGTTTCCATGCTACTCACAGTCGCGATTTACCGCTTTGACTCGCCAAGTCCCTTCACCGACTCGTCGAGTTCTTACTAAGGCTAAAACGGGACAACCCACATCAAATCGTCGAGTCCCTCTAAGGACTCGTCGAGTTCCTCTGTCTGATTGAGCCATCTTAACAGATTAAGACCCTGTTCTCTAAATCTACAGCCCCTACTTCTCTTGTTCAATGGAAATGACCTTTGTAAGGGTAAAGTTTCCAGCTTTACCCATTGATAGCCCTTCTTGAAGGGTTTAGCTAATACCCTAAATCCTTTAGGACATATATCTTGTCCAAACAGCCTTAGTATTCCAAACCAAAGCATGAAAACCTAGATCTAGGGCCTAGATACCAGTTAACCACATAAAGTCTCGAGCTTCCTTTGGGGCTTAAAAGGTCATAACAACATCCTTAAGGATTGCATGAGACTCAAATGGCATAAAATTTGCACCTTTATGCCTTTACAGCCCTTAATGACTCCAGATCTGAAAATATAATCAACTTGGGACATCCATGACTCATAAATCATGCTACTTGGACAAAACCCCCATAAAAGTGACCACAAAGAGATCTAAGGAACTATAAGGCAAGTTAAGAGCTTGATTACCAAAAAGTGATGAGAATGGAACTAACTCCCTGGATCTATAACCTTCTCCTTGAACCTTCAAGCTCATTCTTCTTCTTCTAGGCTTCAAGAACACACAAAACACTCAAAGATGGCTCACACACTTCCAAAATGCTCCAGGGTTTCGTGGATTAGTGTTTAGGACAAGGAGGCTGTAAATGAGGCCAATGGGTGGGGGTTAAGATGCTTAAATAGGGTGCAAAACCCCGAAATTAGGGTTTCACCCTGGTCGAGCTACTCGCCGAGTCAGGGACCTCGACTCGCCGAGTAGATACTCAAACCCCGCGCATACTCTGCCCTCTACTCGACGAGTTAGGGCCACCAACTCGTCGAGTCCTTCTTTTAAAATAAGTAGATAATTAAATTAAATGCATACCAGGGAACCAAGCGTTACAATTCTCCCCCACTTGTCTTAGACTTCGTCCTCGAAGTCTGCTGCATCTGGAAACATCTCCGGGTAGTGCTCCCTCATCTCCTCCTGGGGATCACATGTCATCTCTGAACCCTTATGGTGCTGCCACTACACCTTCACTAGCTCAACCCTCTTGTTTCTCAGCTCCTTCGTGTTGCGATCCAGAATCGCCACCGGTCTCTCAATGTAATTCAGGCTGTCATCAACCTGAATATCCTCTAAGGGCACAACTGCCGTGGCATCCACCAAGCACTTCCGTAGCTGGGAAACATGGAAAGTGTTGTGGATATGGCTGATGTAACACCCCGTTCCTGGTATGCATTTTTTTTTAATTATTATTCTTCTTGTTTTAGAAGCTACTCGACGAGTCAGTAGCCCTAACTCGTCGAGTAGCAGCGGGTCTGCACGTGGTTTGAGCGTGCCGACTCGACGAGTCGGCTATTCCCGACTCGGCGAGTCCGCGAGTCTGGATGAAACCCTAAATCCCAGGGTTTGTACCCTATTTAAACGTCATTATAGCCTCCCACCCCCAGCCTCCAGCACCTTTAGAGCATTTCTCTGTAAAACCCTAGTCCCCATTGTTGAGCTTGAATGTTTTGTGGTAGCTTGGGAGTTGTAGAAGAGAAGGAAGAAAAGAAGATCTATAGAAGAGAAAGGAGATCCAAGAGCTAGCTTCCATCTGCTTCATATTCTGGTAATAAAGTTATTACCTTGCTTATTCTTCCATTAAACCCTCTTTTATACTTGTTTATGTCTCTTTTGGAGCTTTATATGATTCAAACTCGAGATTTGAGCTCTCCTTAGGATGGAGACCATAGATCTGGATGTTATTGAGCTCTAGGAACTCAATATAGCTACCTTTATGCAAATATAACCTTGATTCCAAACCCTAAGTGCTTAGTGTTGGATGATTTTGGTGTTTTAGCCCCATTCTCGTGTGCATGCACGTAAAGTTGGAAACTTTACGTGCAAAACCAGCCCTAGAAGCCCAGATCTATGAATTGGATGCACTGAAATCGACTAGTATCGACTGTATAAGAATGCATGCAAGAGACTCGGCGAGTCCAATGCAATCTTCTTGCCTCAAGAACAGACTCGACGAGTTGTTCATACAACTCGGCGAGTCACAGTCTGGACGTGTTCATATGATGAAGGAGGACTCGACGAGTTGTTTATACAACTCGGCGAGTCGGATGAAGTTAGATTCGACGATAGTACGGGGGAAGAACTCGTCGAGTTGTTGCCAAACTCGACGAGTTGAAGCGAGTAGAGGATTAGAAAAGGTGTTAGGGACTCGGCGAGTTGGCGGCCCAACTCGGCGAGTCCGGTCAACTGAAAGTTGACTTTGACCAGGAGGTTGACTTGGACCAAGGGTAAATCAGTCATTTTACCCTGAGAACAGTTATCCGTATCTGATTTAGTGTTTATGGAATTTGTAGCCGGGGAGTTCCGGAGCAGCAGTCAGCCAGTTTCAGATTTAACATCTCAGCAGCCAGCGTTACGAGGTGAGTTTCCTTTCCAGTAGGAACGGGTCTACGGCCACAATGCCGGCCCGTTTAGTTAGCAGTAGTTCCGGACTTCGGACAGATGCAGTAGTTCAGTGTGCTTGAGGTCTTTGTGATTCAAGCATGTCTTTGTGTTATGTGTTCCGGACTTCGGTCCGATGTAGTATGCAGTATATGTGTTCATGCAAGTAGTTACGATTATGCTATGCTATGTTCAGTCAGATTTCGGACTTTGGTCCGATGCAGAGGGCAAGGCCCTGGTTAGTTCCGGACTTCGGTCCGATGCAGTTTTCGGACTTCGGTCCGATGCAGAGGGCAAGGCCCTGGTTAGTTCCGGACTTCGGTCTGATGTAGTTTCCGGACTTCGGCCCGATGCAGAGGGCAAGGCCCTGGTTAGTTCCAGACTTCGGTCCGATGCAGTTTCCGGACTTCGGTCCGATGCAGTGGGCAAGGACCAATATGTGTGTATATGTTTTTATGGTATGTGGTAGTTTGGGGGAGCTCACTAAGCTTCGTGCTTACAGTTTCAGTTTTGGTTTCAGGTACTTCCGCTAGCAAGGGAAAGAGCTCGGGATGATGGCATGACACACACCACAGTTTTATCCTGGGAGTTTGTTCAGATGTTTGATATGATAGTGACATTAGTTTGATTTGATACTTTTACTATGGCGTTTTGAGACATACGATT